CCTCATTGTTAGAGTTGGCCTGTCACAGGTCGCCTCTGAGGATGTGTGGAAATCACTCGCCTCATAGATCTCCTTTAAGGTTCAGCCTACTTGATGAGGTTTAAAGTAAAACTCTGGAGGAGAAAAAAAAAGAAGAAGAGGGAGGAGAGGAGGCCCAAAGGGGAGAAAAAAAAAAGGAAGGAAGGAGGCCGAAGGGGAGGAAAAAAGGAGGGGGGAGGCCGAAGGGGAGGGAAAAAAAAGGAAGGAGGAGGTCGAAGGGGAGGGAAAAAAAGAGGGAGGAGGCCGAAGGGGAGGAAAAAAAAGGGAGGAGGCCGAAGGGGAGGAAAAAAAAGGGAGGAGGCCGAAGGGGAGGAAAAAAAAGGGAGGAGGCCGAAGGGGAGGAAAAAAAAGGGAGGAGGCCGAAGGGGAGGAAAAAAAAGGGAGGAGGCCGAAGGGGAGGAAAAAAAAGGGAGGAGGCCGAAGGGGAGGAAAAAAAAGGGAGGAGGCCGAAGGGGAGGAAAAAAAAGGGAGGAGGCCGAAGGGGAGGAAAAAAAAGGGAGGAGGCCGAAGGGGAGGAAAAAAAAGGGAGGAGGCCGAAGGGGAGGAAAAAAAAGGGAGGAGGCCGAAGGGGAGGAAAAAAAAGGGAGGAGGCCGAAGGGGAGGAAAAAAAAGGGAGGAGGCCGAAGGGGAGGAAAAAAAAGGGAGGAGGCCGAAGGGGAGGAAAAAAAAGGGAGGAGGCCGAAGGGGAGGAAAAAAAAGGGAGGAGGCCGAAGGGGAGGAAAAAAAAGGGAGGAGGCCGAAGGGGAGGAAAAAAAAGGGAGGAGGCCGAAGGGGAGGAAAAAAAAGGGAGGAGGCCGAAGGGGAGGAAAAAAAAGGGAGGAGGCCGAAGGGGAGGAAAAAAAAGGGAGGAGGCCGAAGGGGAGGAAAAAAAAGGGAGGAGGCCGAAGGGGAGGAAAAAAAAGGGAGGAGGCCGAAGGGGAGGAAAAAAAAGGGAGGAGGCCGAAGGGGAGGAAAAAAAAGGGAGGAGGCCGAAGGGGAGGAAAAAAAAGGGAGGAGGCCGAAGGGGAGGAAAAAAAAGGGAGGAGGCCGAAGGGGAGGAAAAAAAAGGGAGGAGGCCGAAGGGGAGGAAAAAAAAGGGAGGAGGCCGAAGGGGAGGAAAAAAAAGGGAGGAGGCCGAAGGGGAGGAAAAAAAAGGGAGGAGGCCGAAGGGGAGGAAAAAAAAGGGAGGAGGCCGAAGGGGAGGGAAAAAAAGAGGGAGGAGGCCGAAGGGGAGGAAAAAAAAGGAGGAGGCCGAAGGGGAGGAAAAAAAAGACAAAAAGGAGGAGTAGAAGAGGAGGGTGTCAGAGGCTGTCTGCGTATCTCTCTCTGTAACGTTATCTGGACTTTTCTTCTAATCACTCTACACAAAGCCAAAACTTCCAAACCTTCATCATCGTCGTCTTCGCCCGGCAGGTTGAGATGCGGTATGGACAGAGTCATCATCTCCCACAAGGTGAGGCCGAACGCATAGATATCGGCCTTATCAGTGATGACACCACCGTCCTCCAAAGCCTCCTTTGGTTTCCAGGACTCGGTGCCAATGTAGCAGGCCTTTGGATCGGTCACTGGGGGGGGGGAGAACACGAGACGGGTCCAGTCACTTATTGGAGAGATTCAGCCACAAAGGATATCAAATCGAATGTGTTGGCACCAAATGCCTCTGCAAATCCAGATACTACCGTGTAAACCAGGGGAAGCCAAACTCCGGCCCTCCAGCTGTGGTGAAACTACAAATCCCATGAGGCATTGCAAGATTCTCACAGCCACGACTCCCGGAGAGAGATACATCGTGGGGTTTGTAGTTTCCCCACAGCTGGAGGGTCAGAGTTTGGCTACCGCTGGTGTAAACGAAGCAGAAACATCATCATTGTGCTGCACATAACCTGGGCAGAGAGCAGAGCTGTGGGAGGGACCCAGCAGGCTCCACCCACTACAGACTTGCCACACCCCCGGCTTATACTGTCACTCACCGGTCATGTTTTCATCCAGATGCAGAGACACCCCAACATCACAGATCTTAATAGTCTCAAAGTCGCCTTTGATGACAACGTTGGAGGATTTCATGTCTCCGTGGAGGATCTTCTTCTCAATGTGCAGATACTGAGGAGACAAAATCATCCGACAGGAAATCAGACCGACAAAACCTGAACGAAGTGAGCGATCCCCGGACCGACTAGCCATGGGAGGACCGGCTAGCCATGGAGGACCGGCTAGCCATGGAGGACCGGCTAGCCATGGTGGACCGACTAGCCATGGTGGACCGACTAGCCATGGTGGACCGACTAGCCTAGACCAGTGGTGGCGAACCTATGGCACGAGGGGCCCTCTGCTGGCATGCCAGCCTAGGTTTGGATTAACATGCGAGCACTGCCTGAAAATATGCCCGACCGTCCCGCATCAGGCTTATTAGGGGCCGCTCGCTGGGGCCTCTCAGGGCCCTTATAGACCATCTGAGAGCCCACACAGCACCCCTGAGAGCAAGCCCCCCCCCCACCCTAGACCTACCTTCAGGCCCCCTGGCCCCATCCTAGACCTCCCTTTAAGCCCCTAGCACCATCTAGACCTACCTTCAGGCCCCCTGGCCACACCCTAGACCCACCTTCACGCCCCCTGGCCCCACCCTAGACCTACCTTCAGGCCCCTGGCCATATGTAGCGCTACTTTCAGAATAACCGGAGCAGGGAACGGGCCCAGTCCCTCCTCGTTCCGGGCTTCTATGAGGTCATTCAAAGATTTATCGCCACCGTACTCCATTGCAAGACACAAGCTGCCATCTTTAGACTTGGTGAAGGCTCGATAACCTGAGGAGGGGAAACAAAGTACATCTAGAGGGCTTGATCACACCAGGTCCATTGAGCTGCGTTTTCCTGCACGCATGTACGGTGTGAACAGAGCACGTCGAAAACAATTGTCAGCGAGTTACATCATCGCTCCTCCAATCACAGAATGACTTGTGGGCAATAGTGAGGAGGGGCAGGTGGTGGGGAGCATTGTACGGCTTGAGCCTCCCCCAGTGCTCGGCACTATATGCGAGATGGTCCCATGAGGCATTGCAAGACTCTGCCGGTCACAGGCATGCCTCCCAGAGCTTTGGTGGGATTTGTAGTTTCTCCACAGCTGAAGTGCCGGGGTTACCTACCCCTGGTCTAAAGGCCAAAGGGGACAATGGAGATGGAAGCCAAGCAAGTCCACACCTGACTGGAGGAAGCCACTACAGTAGGGGTGGGCAACCCCGGCCCTCCAACTGTGCTTTACGTATAAGCACCATCATGCCTGTGGCTGTCAAAGCCTTGCAATGCCTCATGGGACTTGTAGTTCCACAACAGCTGGAGGGAATTGCCCACCCCTGCTCTACAGTAAGCCTGCCGTGAGGGTGAAATATGGGGCTGTGTTTATAATCCTGAAACAAGTATACAGATCGGGAACATCGGAGAGAATAGGATTTTTGTATTCGCCGTGAAATAATAATCTGCGTTCATTGAAGGACACTGCGATTCTCGCTGGAACATTCGTTTTTGGCCTAGCGCCTTACTCCTGCAGGTGGCGATATAACCCCCGATGGTCCAGTGATCTATGGCTGTGTCCTTCCATAAAGGAAAGAGAAAAGCACTTTATCTGCATACAGTTTTACGTATTAGTGACTCCAAGTATTGAAGCGAGAGGACCATTATGACAGCTAGGTACGCAACTAATTCAAAGCAAAAGGCAAGCAACGGCAGCCTCCATGTTGCCCTCAAGACAGGGTTCCTTTAAGGAGAACTATTGGGGGGGGGGTTGGGTGCTTTTCACTCACCTCATAGTTCTAGCCGGCCTGTGACAATGAGACTGTCACAGGTCGGCTCAGTAGATCGGGTGGTGAGCGAACACATACCGGCGTTTGCTCACCTCTCGATCCTGTCACAGCTCTCTGCCGTGACAGGGGAGGGACTGGATTCCCCTCTCCCCGCTCCGATCCGCCAGCGCTGACTGGAGGAACGGACGGGGGAGGGGGCGGGTACAGCTGGCTCTGCCTCTAGATAGGCAGAGCCAACTGTCACTCACGCAGCTGGGCGGATCTCGACATCGATGTCGGGATCTGCTCCGGCGTCTCAGTATACCGCGAGCTGTAGCTCCCTATATACTGAGCTTAGAGTGATGGGAGGATGCTAGTTTGTGTCCTCCCGTTACCCTGAGGAGAACTATGGGGAAAAGCCCTAACCCCGTAGTTCTTCTTTAATACCTAGAACAATCTTTTTGTTACATCTCTGTGGAAACAAACACTCGGCATTTACCAACAATGTTGGGGTGCTGCAAGTCCTTCAGGATCTTGGCCTCCACGTTCAGCCGTTCCTCATACAGATTCTTGCTGGATTTGTCACACTGCTTGCTGATCTTCTTGATAGCCCACGGGGAGCGAGACAAACCCTTCGGAGACCTGAGCAACGAAACACATGCAGACGGACTGACAGCTGTAATGCAATTCAAAGCCAAATCATTTTTTTTTAACCCAGGACAGAAGCTGGTCACAGAGTTATTTTACCCCCTTTGAGGCAGAAAGTGGATCCCTGCACCTCGAGAATAATGACAAATACTATGTTGCATCAGAGAATCAGCGGCGGGCACAGGCGCATGGACCTAGTTCTGATGGCAAACAGCGCTATAATCACAGCAGATGTCCAGAGCCTGACCACTTCAACACCAACCCCCTCCCCCATCATCATCATGGACTCAAAACCTCCACTCCCAGATGTCCAGAGCTTGACCACTTCATCACCGACAATCATCCATTCCCCCATCCATCATGGACTCACTACTTCCATTCCCAGCAGATGCCCCTCTTCTAGCAGCATTTAACCCACTTCCTGTGAGCCCATGGTGTCAATGCTCCACCCCACTCAAGAGTATGCTGCAGACAGGATGTGAGGTGATGATCTCTCTAATAGGGACACAGACAGCAATAAAAACCTAAGAGTCTCCACCCACTACAGGCTGCCTGCAGAAAACTACAGGAGGGGGCGGAGACAAGACCGGTCACCCTGTACAAGGAGAGAGAGAGAGCAGCACTGGCCGGTCTTTATTACAAGAGGGGGCGGAGACAAGACCAGTCACCCTGCACAAGGAGAGAGAGCAGCAGTGGGCGGTCTTTATTACAGGAGGGGCAGAGACAAGACCAGTCACCCTGCAGAAGAAAAGAACAGCAGTGACCGGTCTTTATTACAGGAGGGGGCGGAGACAAGACCAGTCACCCTGCAGAAGAAAAGAACAGCAGTGACCGGTCTTTATTACAGGAGGGGGCGGAGACAAGACCAGTCACTCTGCAGAAGAAAAGAACAGCAGCGATCGGTCTTTGATATAAGAGGGGTGCGGAGACAAGTCAGAGCACCCTCCAGTCATTGTCCGTGTAGTTGCTCAGATGCAGGACCTGTCTGTATTACATGTGCATGTCATATGCCGTCTGTCCACCCCTCCCCCCCCAAAGACAAGGGTAATGTTGGGCTCACCTCTTCATCAGGTACACGCTGACTCCGGTCCCATATCCAAACTTCTGCATGAACGGTGAGGCCGGGATGGCGAACGCCGGCGACGGCGTGGACACGTCTGTGACAAATAAAAGGTTCAGTTCATCAGTCTGGAGGCCGTCCATGCTTTCCAGAGACACACACATAGGCCCAGCTCACCCGCGCGCCACCTTGCGCAGGAGCAGCACATTCCCAGGCAGATCTTGTGAAGCTTTTGGCAAACCTGAGCCGACTTCCTGACACAGATCCCAACAGGAGCGCCAACTGTCACTGCAAACAGGCTGCCAGCGGGCACTGGACAAGCTTCAAGTAGCACTGAAACTCGCAGAAGCCGGCTAGCAGCTCGTTTAAAGGGACAGTTTACCTTCAATCCACATGCAGGACAGCTTTGGACGCAGATCAAAACGGTTTCCTCTGATTTTTATTTGTTAAAGGAGAAGTATGGGGTCAGTGTTTTTCCCCCATAGTTCTCCTTAGGGTAACGGGAGGACACAAACTAGAGTCCTCCCGTCACCCTAAGCTCAGCTACAGCTCGCGGTATACTGAGACGCAGCAACGGATCCCAACCTGGACGTCGGGATCCGCCCATCTGCGTGACTGACAGCTGACTCTGCCTATCCAGAGGCAGAGCCAGCTGTACCCGCCCCCTCCCCGGTCCGTTCCGCCAGTCAGCCCTGGAGGATTGGAGTGGGGAGAGGGGAATCCAGCCCCTCCCCGTCACGGCAGAGAGCCGTGACAGGATCGAGAGGTGAGTGAACGCCGGTATGTGTTCGCTCACCTCCCGATCTACTGAGCCGACCTGTGACAGTCTCATTGTCACAGGTCGGCTAGAACTATGAGGGGAGTGAAAAGCCCCCCCCCCCCCTCATAGTTCTCCTTTAAAGCTTCTGCTGCTCGTGCTGATGATATATGTACATGCCCCCGAGTCCAGCCTGGAAGAGCGAGACTCCCCGGTCCTCCCCATACAGCGCTTACACCTCCGTGCTCACCAAAACGACAACTTGCCCTTTAAAAAGGATAGCAAACAACAGAGGTCACCAGGCCGGCTGCCGATCACGTGATCGCAGAGATTGGATGTCACAGTGACCGAGAACTGACAGGGATCACGCGGTCCCTGTTCTGGAGGGGCCCCAACCTGAGCATGGTCCACGCCAGAACGGTGGCGCCGGCTGTACACATATGTGGCAGACGAGTGCTAAAAAAAAAAAAAAAAGCCACATACATACAGATGGCAGGAAGGGGTTAATGGCGACCTCCCACATATATACATACGGTGAGTGTTGCGATCGCGCCCCACTGGGGGTCCGGGGGACACAGCGACCGACAGTTCCCAGTCATTGTTTACACCTCCCGGTCACATGATCACTGTGACAGCCAGGAGCACCAATCACGTGACCAGGACTTTCCAGCATGAAGGATCCCAAGGGTAAGCCCCCAACGCTGCTTTATTGTGACGCACGTGAGGTGAATGGGCCCCGAGCAGGGAATAGACAGGTTCTCTTTGACACCGGCTTATCAGCACCGCTACATCTGCCATGTTTTCATGTAAACAAGTCCCAGCCCCCCTCTCTCACCCGAAGAGGTCCTCCTGTCCACCTTACGAGGCGTCTTGAAGGCCTCGAGCGACGCAGCCCCGTCACTGCCGTGCACCGACATCGCTCCGGTATAGAAGTCACTCACTGGTCCGGGCCCCTTCTCCGATTCTCCCGCGTCTGCTTCAAACTCAGCAGCGCGCGCGCTCCCGATCCATGACGTCACGCGCGAACAGACAGAGATAGGTCCCTATCTCACATTCTACGAACGCAGAAGCGAGAGCGTGCGCGCGCACATCCTTCCCTGTCCACCCCCCTTTGCCCTGACGTCACGCAGGAGGGAGGAGACATGGTTGGGCAGGGCAATGTGTGGACGCCTGTGCTTGGCGAGCACGCGCGCGGCTGCGTGTGCGCGCCGTATAGAAGCCGGAGGGCGGGGGACAGAGGCGCTCCTCAGCATGGTAGAGGTGGGAACTTATCAGAATCTGGAGCAGTTGCCTATAGCAACCAATCAGCTTCTCTCCACTGTTTGCTCAAAAGTGAAAGATTGAAGCTGATTGGTTGTTGCAGGCAACTGCTTTCAGATTCATTATTGGTATTTATATTGCACCAATAACTGACAGAGGGTCGATTTATCAGAGCTGGGCAGCTGTGCACGGCAACCAATCAGCTTCTCCGTTTCATTTTCTGTTCTTATCTGAACAAACTGAAGAGAGAAGCTGATTGGTTGCTGTGGGCAACTGCTCCAGATTTTGATAAATTCCCCCACCCCCTGTGTGAGTTATATAGAAGCACATACACATCAGTCCCTGCCCTCCAAGAGCTTACAATCTGAGGTCCCTATCTCACATACATACATGGCTGATTAACCTTCCAGCATGTCTGCAACGTGGGAGGAAACCCACGCAAGCACAGAGAGAACATGCAAACTCCATGCATATAGTGACCTGACCGGGATTCGAACCGGCGACCCCCAGTGCTGCAAGGCATTAGTGATGAGCTCGGGCGTGTTCGCAAGCGCCTCGCGCCGAGCCCGCCAGGAAGCCGTCAGCGCACAGGGCCAATCACAGGCACCGAGCCATTTGCAGCTGCGGACCGGGAACATGTCTCAGTGCCTGTGATTGGCCCTGCGCGCTGACGGCTTCCTGGCGGGCTCGGCGCTTGCGAACACGCCCGAGCTCATCACTACAAGGCTTACGTGATAACCACTGAGCCCCTATTCATTATTCAATGTCCATTTTTTTAATTGATATCTCTTTTTTAAGCCCGTCGAAAGCTCCAACTCGTTGAGATCTCCAACTGGTGACGTCACGTCCGATGACTTGCCAGTAGGAGATCGAGACCAGATGCCGCTGGTGTGCGTACGGCAGCCGCGGCGGTGTAAGAACCCTTGTCAAATTCCCGAACTCCCATCACTGCGCCTGTGCGGCTTCACAATCCCCGTCGGGTCCTCCAACCCCTATCAGTGCGCCTGCGTGGCCACCCAACGCTCGGAATATTAGCTATTAGCCAATCATTGCAAACCAAAGGCAGCCAATCAGAGAGCATCTTCTGCTAACAGATTGCATGTGCCATCGGGTTGGGCGCGCAGGTGCAGCGACGCAAATTGTAGAACTTTATTCCGCTGTTGGGTGGCCGCACAGGCGGAGGGGTTTGGAGGACTCGGCGGGGATTGTGAAGCCACGCAGGTGCAGTGAGGGGAGTTCGAGAATTTGACAAGGATCCTCAAACAGCGCCATCTTGTCTCAAGCACCTCCTCACCGGACATGACGTCACCAGTTGGAGATCTCGACGAGTTGGAGCTTTTTCGACAGAACACTGGCACACGGACCTTGGCGACCTCCGGCGCGTCACTTTGTGAGAGCTCGCACAGCTGACGCGCATATAAGCCCGCGCGTCAGAACACTAAGGCTGGGTTCACACCTAGGCGTATTGTATATGCGCGTTTGTCGCGCGGTTCGCGTCGTGCGTTTTTACCGCGACAAACGCGCGTTTCCGTTGGCTACTTGGCTGTATCCCAATGGAAACGCGAGACCGAAACGCCCCAAAGAAGTACATGTACTTCTTTGGGCGTAGGCCGTTTTGTAGCGCGTTAGGGACGGGCTGAAATACGGCAAGGTGGGAACGAGACCATTGAATACAATGGGATTTAGATGTTTGAGCGTTTTGTAGAGCGTTCGTCGAGCGTAGAACGCGCTACAAAACGTTCAGGTGTGAACCAGGCCAAAGTCCCTTGAGTTGTTACGTGCGAGCCGATTGGCTGAAGATGCAGCCTTTCATCTGGCCGCGCTCAGCTCACGCACTGCATGCAAACGTCCGCACCTCGCAGCTTTGCTTCGCACGCTGAGTGTCACGGGACTCCAACGTGAAGGAGGAGGGGGGGCTACTTCTCTTCCCCATGGTCCCTACTCCCTATGAATGAATGGAGGGGGAGCTCACTCAGGGTTTCAATAGGGGAAGCTCGTGCACGAGGGACGGAGAGCATTGTGGGTAATGTAGTTTTTCCACGTCGTTCCCATTGTGCACGGCAGCCTGGAATGAACACAGACTGCCTGCAGACCACAGAGGCGGCCATTACTAAGGGAGAGACATGAGCAGATGAAGAGGACGACTGAAGTAAAAAGTAAGTTCCTGCGCTCACGTACGTGCGTATGCATCCTCACCCTGACGTGGGGGGGTACGGCTGCGCCCAGGATCCTGGTGTCCTATATTTCAGCAGGCGATGCTTGTTCAGTAGAAGTGATCGGCTCTGCTGTACAGCCTCCCAGATCACTTGTAGCAGCCTGCGGTTGTACTGCATCCCCGCACCCCCTACACTGTGCTTTCCGGGGTCCCCCCGCTCCTGTAGGGGACAAACAGTGTCAGGATGGGGAGTGGGAGCGGAGGAAGGGAGGAACGTCCATTCCCTGACCTGCTCTGTGATCAATCACAGCAGAACTCTGGGTAGAGTTTTCTTACCCCTTGCAGTGGTAGCTACCCTGCTACCCTTGCATTGGGGTTACCCCGCCCCCTTCCGCACTGCAGGGGTTAGGTGCTCATCTTTGTCTTGGTGCTAAAAAAAAGTTCTGCTCACCCGATCCTCCAAGACAGCTTGCTCTTAGACTGTTGCCTGGAGCCTCTCTTACCCTCCGCTGCCGTGGTCTTGGCAGGGACCATAATGAGGCAGTCGGAGGTGGTAGCCTCAGGCGGCTTCTTATTGGGCGGCGGTAGGGTAGCCGCGCTGCAAGGGTTAAGAGCACTTTTTGCCCGGAGTCCTTCTTGGGTATACCAAGGCTCCTGCTGCAGCCATGATCTCAATATCATTTTTTCCAGCAGGCGAAGCTCATCGGGTACCCGGATCACTGGCTAGGGTTGCCACCTGTCCAGGATTCACCCGGACAGTTCGGGTTTTGAATGCTGTGTTCGGGTTTCATAGCAGCAGAAACCCGGACACAAGATGTCAGGGAGACAGGGGCAACCAAAATTAAGATAGGGACTACTGGCCCCCCACTGAAGATAGTCTCAACGGTGATATTTACATATGAATGGGTGGAGCTATTTACATATGAATACGCCACCACTCATTCTCCCAAAAAAATGTCTACACGTCGCTTGAGTGTTCGGGTTTTGCTTGAAGAAAAGGTGGCAACTCTATCACTGGCACCAGCCTGCGATTGC